CCACATCGCTGCATTTCTTTTCTCTCTTAGTCTTCATTCCCTCTACTTCTCTCGCTCTCTCCCTTAATCTCTCCCTCTCTCTCTCTCTCTCTCTCTCTCTCTCTCTCTCTCTCTCTCTCTCTCTCTCTCTCTCTCTCTCTCTCCCTCTGTCCAGCCGTCGGAGAGCTCCGCCCAGGCCGGACAGCAGGCTCTCGGCTCTCCAAGTCCGGCCTGACTCACTGGGCCGGGCAGGGCGGAGCGGTGAAGGCTGCTGCGGCGGTGGTGAGTCACGGGCGGTGGCGGCGGCGGCGGTGACGCCGGCACGGGGCCCCTCGCTCGGAGCGCCGCTGCCGCCCTGTACTCTGTACCGACTGTTACGGCGCTCCCAGACCCGCGGCGTCCAACTCCGACGCCCCAGGGCGGCAGATAGTGCAGCCGGACTACAACGAGACAGCAATTACCTACATGTGCACATCTTCAGGACACAATTACACTTTAACCCTCGCCCATGTAGGGGGGGTTGGTGCAACCCCCCCCCCCCCCCCTGAGGTTTTTCTTAGCTACACGCCGAACCGTTTCAGATAGCCTGCGCAAATTTTCAGTACCCTTTGGGGCATCCTTTGCGCAACTTTTGGTAAAAAAATTTGTCAAGGTCATGTCAGGTCACGGAGTTATGACGTCATAAAGGGAACAACCTCCGGCCAGATTTACGCTAAATTGGAGATTGCTTCACATTGGTATAAATGCCGACTGACCTGACACACTGATGGATTGTTTTAGAATCACAACTGGCTGATTTGACATTGGCACAATGTCCGTTGACATTTTGAAGGTTACTAAAGGTCAAGGTCAGGTCAGTGACCTCGGTTGACCTGTAATGACTTCTTGCACTTGTATGTCTTTTCGGGGTATTTTGATGCCCTGAATTCGAATTTGCTATCCATTTCAGGCATCGTCGGTTGTTTCTTGTAGTTCATTTTGGGTCAGGGTCAGGTCAGTGACGTCACACGCCTGACGTGACCCAATGCACAAATGACCTTGCAGACTTCCGATGCTCCCAACGCATCATTTTTAGAGTTATGACATCGAAATATACACCAAACGATAGAGAATTGATCACGGATCACGATAGTGAAGGTTTCGAGTCGATATCTTTTACCGTTTTGCCGCAATCGGCGCGGAAATCTGAAAAAAGTTAGATTTTTCCGAAAATTTGACCTTTGACCGGTCATAAGTAGGTCAAATGTTGACCTAGGACCAAAAACTATATACCACCAATCGCGAGATCTCGTTGAGAGCAATCCGTTGGTCATTTCCGCTAAGCTCTACGACGCTCCGTTTTCAAACGCCAGGGGGGTCGCACCAACCCCCCCTGCATGGGCGAAGGTGGCAAAACACCGTTTACGGGCGAGGGTTAACAAATTGTGCTACATTATGCGACATTGCTGGATCGGAACGTCTTCAGCATAGCTCATATTTAGGCAATTGTCGTTTCGTTACGTTTTGATTGATGGTGTCAATCGAAGTAAACATTTTCGGACTTTCGAACTGATGTCGGAGACCGATTGTGACTTTGGGCGGTTGAAGGCAATTTCTCCTCTTTTTTTTTGTATTTTTCGGTCAGTGCACTGCACTGTGACGAACATATCAACATATCGTCAAAGATAAGTTTCGAGCTCGGGATGTAATGCCTAATTTTGGTGAGTTTTGTCTTGCTGATACAAAACGATTTCTTTTGTATCAAAATGTGGGAACATAAACATAGAACCTACTATTGAGCGCATTCGTGACTTGGAAAATCGGACAATTTTCGGATACTGGGACGCTCCGGACATTTTTATTGTCATTTTCATATAAGAACAACATTTATCCCGCCATTTTCACACTCTATTTTCAGTTTTTTTCATATCTTCATGCTTCTTTTCTGCACATGCTGTTGCAGTTTTAGACCCATATCGTGCAGGATCAGGTCACCAGGTCACGTCAAGTGACTTTATCTCAGAAAAAGTTCCGATGCTCGCCATAGCTACACCGGCTAAAGGACCTCTTTTAAACTTTCAGCAATTGTAAGATTAACACTTACCAGTATGTATAAAATGTTTATCTCGAAAATTTAACTCGCGCCGGGCCGGTGCTCCGAGATTCCGCGCCGCCGGGCCGGGGGGAGGGAGGTGTCTGAACACCCCCTTCTAACTATAAGGCTACTGGGCCACGTAGCGACACGCGGTGAGCGGAAATCGAAAGAACGTCCAAAATAAGAACGAGAACACTTGGGTCATTTTTTGGGTCAGGTCAAAGGTCAGGTCACCAGAGGTCACCAAAGGTAAAATGTTGACTATTTCAACATTTTGGAAACTGCCGACGGCTATCTCGGGAACCGATAGAGCTACAGCGCCGCAGAAAAGCGCATTCCATAGTCCTTTTACAGACCTTTCTGGGAAATGTTCTCAGATTTGACCTCAGGTCAACGGTTTAGCCTCCAGAGGGCAAAAACTCCAAAAAAACGTTTTTTCGGCAATAACTACTCAAAAGAGCCATGAAATAACTTTTGCCAGCATCGTGTTCCTCTCGTCGAGACGCGTCGAATAAACTATAATTTGACATTGAAAGGTCAACTATATAATATATATATAATATATATAAGTCAAAGGAAAGGGGAAAAAATCCAAAACTGCTATTCTGGCGCCGGGAACGATCTCAAACTATCTCAAGCACACGGAATCGCGATTTCATTCACTTCTTGCAAGGTTCCATGCTTCAACTTTGCATTTTTGACCTTGCGTGACGTCATTTATGACGTCACTAGGCAGGGCCATGAGAGTTTTTGCCCCTAACTCCCGATCAAACTGAGCTAGCGAGTCGGAGAAACCACCAATGGGCTCAAGAAGACCTGCCGAATCGAATGATATGTGATATGACTTCATCAAACCAGCTTGGTGACCTGGAAGGCTTTGACTTAACCTTGACCCGAGGTCAACACGTCAAGTTGACCTCATCCGAACAAAAAGTATACCATTCGCGACGCGCCTGAACAAGGCGAACACGGCGATGCCAAAGTCGCGCCGCTGCGACCGTTCTTTGCGAAGTTATGAATAAAAAACGATCCCATGCCTTGGGCCACTTGACCTGACCTGACAGGTCACCGGTTAACCTGAAACCTTAATCTCGGGTACCAGTAGCTGCGTCTCGTAACGGCGCACACGCTCGGGCTTCCCGCGACGCTCCAGGGCGAAACGGGGCTAAAATGTGGCTGAAGTAATTTATCCATTATTTTTGACACTCTTTCACAAGCCGCTTACCGCTTGTGGCTATGTGCCCCAGGGGTCTAGATAGGCGGGGAGGGGGGGGGGGACAACTCCCCCAGCACTTGATGAAAATTCCAACCACTAGCACGGCGCGGCTTAAACGACACGCCAGGCAAGCATGATTTGAGTAAATGTTTCATTTTCGATGCATTACAAAATGCTATCAAAATAGGTCACTTAAATATGTCGTAGCTCGGCTGGGATTGGACATACCTAAAGTCCGATAACCAGGGCCAGGGGAGAGCGCCCCGGCCCTGAAAAACGCGTTTTTCGCTCCGCTGTCTAACTAACTCTACCTATAGACCAATAACTAACAAAGATAGGTACGAAGACAATGGCGTTATCAACCGAAAGGTTCCCTAATGATTATTCTAAAACCGAAAATGTTTGCCCTCAGCTTAATTTAAAAGGTCCAAAGTCAAAACCAGCATTTATAGGCATTGCGTACCTAGTACCTAAATAGTGATCTCATTATTTGTTCGAAAAGAAAACATGGCGCATAAAATTAGCCAAAGCTGCCCGGAATTTAACGAATTCTTTGGAAGACTACGATGGTTGCGCAAAGTCTAAGCTCAAGGTCAAGGTCATTGTCAAATATGACCTCGATCTTTGCATTTTTGGTGTACCTATCTACCTTCCCACAGAGTCTCCCCGGTGTGCGATGCTTTCCTTACCGGGCTGGGGAGTATTCGGACACTCCCCATATGGGTTTCCGCACATATCTACAGAAAGGTGGTGCAGAAAGTGCTAATGCTCGCCATAGTGGCTACCGTCCTGATTCCTGAACGCTTTGAAACTACCACTTACCAGCCTGCTTGATAAAAGCAACAGTACGAGACGAGTATACATATACATTATACATGTATCCCTTACCGGTTGGGGTCTAGCGAGGGACATACAAAGCTATCTCGGGATTTCAAGTCTGGTCTTTTTTGCGACCTTTTCATTATAAGACAATGAGATTAAAGTAAAGTGCGCCTCTTTTTTTGACGAAAGTCATAGAAAGCACTCTTTGCATCGTATAACAGGCTAAAACACATTGCATCAGAAAATTGCACCCATGGACGATGACTAGTAATTATATCGCATACGTTACGATTTGTGACGTTCCGTAGGTAAGAGTGCGGGCTTACAGACATTGCATTTTTTCTTGCCGAGAACCCTCGAATGAAATAAAATCCTGAATTAATTTAACGATTCCGTGACACTTAAATTCCGACCGTAAAACATTTGAGTAAGTGCCTACATACAGCCTTGCCGTATTCCGCTATCCGGAGGCTAGCTGTCAGTTGTTGCCCGCGCGGGACCAGCGCGCGGGCGGCGTCAGCCCGTCGGACGACCAGCCCAGCCGGTCCAGCCCAGCACGGCGCTGGTCGGCGCGTCATACTCGTCCAGTGCGCATGCGCCGCATGACGCAAGGCCGGCTCCACCGTCGCACCACCATGCGACCGGGAACGCTGGGGAGCTCAGGGCCGAGGCTGGCCAGGCGAGTCCCACCGACCGGGACCGCCGTCGCTAACTCTGTCAGCTGCGATCGATGTATGACACCGAAGCGGATACCGCTCTAGCATACCCCAGGTCCCCAGACCTGACTTGACCTGGCCCGACCTGACCCCCTGCCTGGAGGAGCCGTGCCCATACAGCCCGCCGAGCCCAGTCCGACTGTCGTCCGCCGCCGGCGCCGGCAGCGCCATCTGCGCATGCGTCACCGACTCGGCTGGGCGGAGCGGAGCGGGGAGCCGAGCGGTCCGCCGGCGGCCGTCAGACTGAGGCGGCATTTCGACGGAGCGGGGCTGTGACCGACCTGTCCGCAGTACAGAAACCGTGCGCTCGGCCACCATTGACCCTATACCGATCATGGCAGCCGGCGATGAGTGATTTACAGGTGAGTCCGACCCGGGGCAGCCGTGTGGGCCGTTATACCGGCGTCTCCTCCCCACCCCGCTCCCTGACCGGTCACGTGGTCTCGGGTCGGACCGTGACCTCGGCTGGGTCACAGGTGGGATGGGGTACGGGAGTCGGTGGTTTGAAGGGCTATGTTCTGATAGAACTGAGCTTGGTGCATGCTGCTTTGCGTAAGCGTTTGTGTTGATTAGCGGATAGTTGTGAACTGTGGTTGTCTTCGGGTGCTGTCTATGAGACGAGCGCCACGTGAGAGCTCGGGTGGGGAGGGGAGGGAGGGGCAGTGGCCATGCCTGATGCAGATCGTGTTCTTTTTATACATTGGGATATGCCGGTGACTGCTGCGCGTAACTTTTATAGGCATACTTTTTTGATTATTTGACATAAGTTTAGGTATAACCCTGTGCGCACGTTTTCTCTTAGAATTATTCATTTCACGTGCTCGCCAGATTTTCTTAGTGCACAGCTAACTAACCGAAAGAAAATATGTTTTTTTTTTGTGGTTAAATGCGTTATGAAACATGCTTAGGGACAAATTTTCATCATGGTATGTAGGACAGGGTAAGAGTAAGTAGGGTATGTACGTTTATGCGTACGTATATGCAAAAAAGCGCGCTTATTCAGTAAATTCTTATAATGCATCAATGCAACTGGTTATGCAGCACTCTTCAAACTCCTTTGCCGCAAAAAGGCCCGACAAGCTGCAGTTACAGTGCGTATACCGCATGACTAATATGTGGCGTATGACTAAAGATGTAGGAAGAAATACGTACGCTCTACGCCAAACGTAATTGCCTGTGCCTTGTAGGTACGGTAGGTATAGGTACGGTAGGCGATTGTGTTTACTGATTATAGTTTCATTTCGTGCTATACGGTATTGATGATAGGCTACAAACCAGTAAAATGCCTTTTGGGGCGACCAACAACGGAGCGAGCGAGAGGGTGGGCCTTGCACGTCCGAAATTGCGGGGGGTACCTCCAGTTAACTGTGCACTGCACCCTACTAACCGGTCCCTAGCGATGTGCCAAATTTGAGCGCAATCGGCCCAGCCGTTCTCGAGATCTGGAAGCGGCACCCTGCACGTGCGCACGTGCAAAATGGGTCCCAACTGACTTTTGCACGGCACCCTACGAACTAGTCCCTAATCATATAATACCAAATTTCAGCGCAATCGGACTCGGTTCAGCCGTTCTCGAGATCCGGAATCGACCCCTGCACGTGCGCACGTGCAGCTGCACCCCAACTGTGGCACATGGATACGCATTGCCTAGTGGGTGCCTACCTATCTACATGCCAACTTTCAGCGCAATCGGCCCAGTAATTACCGATATATTGCAATTGTTGCAAAACGGACACCTCTTCGTTTTGCACGTGGCACGTGCATAAGGGGTTACCCACATGGATCGGGAATAGTCCAATAATTGGTAGAAGGAAATAGGAATGAAGCTACCCTACAAAAATTACCGCATGTAAATCGGTGTGTTGCTGAGATATAAGCGTCGCAAAAGCGTGACCACGGCCGGCCGCTCATACTCAGAAATTTCCGTATATTCTACGTAAAACTCCGCTCGCTTCGCTCGCTCCGTAACAAAGGTATTTCAAAGGTTGCGCATTAACCCGCGCCCCGCTGGGGGGGGGCAGAATCTGCCCCCCCGGGGGCAGAATCTGCCCCCCTCCCGTTTTTCGCCAATAACTTCTAAACGCGTTACGCCAGCGACGTCAAACTTTCAGTACCTTATCACTCATCAATTTGACACGTTCCCTGAAAATTTGAGCGAAATCCGTCGGAAATTTTTGAAAAATTGACGTTTTTGTGACGTCATGTTCGCCATTTTCGCCTCAAAAACGGCAAAATTTCAAACGCCGCTAACATCTTCATTTTTAAAGGAATCAAGACGTAACAAAAAAGTTTATACGTGATTCCTCTTTGTCTATCAAATGGCTATCTCGGTTTTTTAAAAATTTTGGATTTTGGCCGAATTTTTTTTCTCAAAAAACTGACTTTTTGGGAAAATTATTATAAAATCCACAATTTTGAGTGTATCGAAAAAACCGGAATATATGTCAGAGAAGTAGTCTATGTGCACCTATATACCAATTTTTAGAAGAATCGGTTCAAAATGTGGGAGTTATTCAAATTTTTATGACGTCACGACACACAAAAATTTTGAAAAATGATTTTTTTTTTGGGGGGAAGTTCTAGACCTCGTACGGAAACAAAAATAGCACCATTCGATTCGCCGTGAAAAACTGCATCAGATAGACTGCTTTTTAGGCCTTAACAACCAACTTCAAAATTTGACCTCACTTGACCTGACCTTGACCTGACCTCGACCTGAAATTCATCCAGAGGTGGTCCATATCACTTATTGAGTGTGCCTATTGAATTCTATGAGTAAAATGACCCATAAAACATGTGTCGCACATGCCCTTTTCTATATTTTGTTTTTGGTGACCTGACCTGACCTGACCTGACCTTGACCTTGACCTTTGAATGACATTGTATGCAACGAATATTGTCTTGGTAGTCTAAGAACACGTTTTGGGCAATCAGTCTCAGTCCATTCTCCGGCAACTACGGTGCAAGGCCGATACTGTAGAAACTTGCATTTTGTACCCTTGACCTGACCTTGACCTGACCTCTGACCTACTTAAGCAAAAAAATTTGGGCTATTTAGATCCGCCTTGTTGAGAGCTTTCGATTGCCGTTTTCCCCGTCTTTCTACGACCATCGGTTCGGAAGTTAGACAGGGGGGCAGAATCTGCCCCCCCCCCCAGCAGGGCGCGTATGGCTGAATAGCCCAGCGGGGCGCGGGTTAATAATGATCACGGCTCAGACTTTTCCATACGCAAGCTGTAATCCTTTTTTAGCTCAATAAGAGCTCATATTGTTTCATGATGGTTCCTAGCTAAGCGTTATCATTTTATTTCAAGTTCGGCCTTTTTTATAAGATTAAAAATATCAATTCGCTTGATCACTTACCTTCGCCCTGGTGGGCTTGGGGGTGGGGGAGGGGTGGAAGGGGGGGGGGGGGTGCCATACCTCCCAGAAATTTGGTACCTACCTATAGCGTATGATGCATCAAGTTTGCATCGTATGTTGAATTTAGACCCCAGATTACGTAAGGTCAGGTCACGAGATCAAGTTAGGCGACAATATCTCTAGAAAATGTAATTCCGTCATTCTTACATTTTTTATCGTAGAAATTTGAAACTCGGGCGTTTTGATATAGACAAATCAGTATCAACAATTTGTAATTTGTATATTTCGGAAAGTTATATCGGTGACCTAAGGTGAAGTCAATTTTGCGACCTTCTCTTCTACCTTTAAGTCAATGGAGAAAATTAAAATGCTCTTCTTCAGGACGAAAACACTGTCAAGCATCGGAGTACATGTAAACACGACACGCTGTATAAAAAAAAATACACTCGTGAGTCGTGAGTCACCCATCTTTATGCCCATGATGTCATCTCAGGTCATGAAACGTCTCCAACAGTTTGTTGACAATAACGTTACATAGAAACATCCTGGAGCGACGAAAACGCTCTAGATGCGTTCAACTCAACGATATAAATCGACTAGTATGTATCATGAGAACCTTTTCCGTGAACTTGACCTGAGATTAAATTTGGAAGCTGACCTTTTCAGGTCAACCTATAGGTAGTTCATTCGATGCGTCTGGACGGAGATACGCGATGCCAGTAAAATCAACGTACTACAAGCTTGGTGTTAAGAGTTACCTATTGCAGAAAAACTTTTCCACAAAAACGTCAAATTAAGTTTTTGCCCTCTAGATGCTAAACCGTTGACCCTAGGTCAATTCTCAGAACAGTATTGAGAAAGAGCTTCGAAAGAACTATCGAATGCGCTTTTCCGCGGCACTGTAGCTCTATTTGCTGTTACGTTGTGCGCCGATTTGCGAGGACTTGTCAAATCGGGGAAAATTCGTGATAATTTTACATTTGGTGACCTTCAGTGACCTCAGCGATTGCCTGATCGAAAATTACCTTAATGATTCTGAAAGATCTTATACCGAGCTATAAGATTGATTTTTTCCGTGTTTTCCAGCTTTCTTTCTTTCCTAGATAACCTGGGGTGCCATGGCGAAGTTGGCTGAGACCCCATCTGGGTGCAGGTTAAATACGTGCCCCGCTGTCAGGATGGGGCTAGATCCCTCCCGTCCGTGTTTCTTAAGCGAATCGAATGGTGCTATTTTTGTTTCCGTACGAGGTCTAGACCGTCCAAAAAATCATTTTTCAAAAAATTGTGTGTCGTGACGTCATACAATTTTGAGTAACTCCCACATTTTTGAAACGATTCTTCTAAGAATTGGTGTGTAGGTGCACAAAGACCACTTCGCTGACATTTATTCCATTTTTTTCGATACACTCAAAATTTTGGATTTTATAATTATTTTAACAAAAAAGTCAGTTTTTTTAAATTGGGCCAAATCGAAAATTTAAAAAAACGAGATAGCCATTTGATAGACAAAATAAAATCACGTATAACCGTTTTCGTAACGTCTTGATTCCTTTAAAAATGATGTTAGCGGCGCTTGAAGTTTTGCCGTTTTTGAGGCGAAAATGGCGTGATATGACGTCATTTAAACGTCATTTTCTCAAACATTTTCCGACGGATTTCGCTCAAATTTTCAGGGAACGTGTCAAATTGATGTATGATAAGGTACTGAAAGTTTGACGTCGCTGGCCTAACGCGTTTAGAGGTTATTGGCGAAAAGCGGGAGAGGGTAGATTCTGCCCCCCCCCCCCGCGGGGCTCGGGTCTCAGGATAGCAAAAACGGTTGAATTATAATGGTTAACGTTTCCCTACATCGGCCAGATGAAAATGTCGGTCGGTCGTGCCTTTTTGAGTAGCTAGCGCCTAATCGGCGAAATAGTTTCTAGCTAAGATAATCTTGCATGACCCTGACCTTTGGCAGTTTCATAGCGGCACATGAAACACAAACAGGGGCTTGATAAGC